CGTTGATTTCAGTGCTTTTTTGTTAATAATGATGGGTTTGATAGTGTAGGGTCTTCAGTAACGTGTCAAGCATCTTTTATCTGTAGTCGTTTTGTAAAATATTCCGGTCTTTAGTCTAGCAACACGCTGCACACCCAAAATATTAACCAAATTGAGACACATAAGATATATAAGAACTCTGCTGTCTCTTGATGTCAACACCACAAGTTTCAAGCACCGTTTCTGTAACTTGCTTTTAAGTCATTAACAGAGATGAATGGATGGAATGATCATATTTTGACCATAATAAAACGATATTTTAATTGAATAATGAAGTAACACGTATTCTTCGGAAATAGTTGAATACAATTAAAGCAACTGAGAAAAGCGTGATCAAAAGTAAAATTGTCATTGTGTCAAGAAAGAAATATTTTGTTGAGCAGTGTTTATTAAAACGCTCAGCTCCAATGACAATAATGATCTAATCAAAGATATGGATTTATCTATACACGCAAATATTTATAACGCACGTAAATCATTCTTGTATAAATAAACTGAAATGTGCGAAGAATAGTTTAGAGAATTTGTCTGTAAGATCGGTGAGTGGATTGTACGATTATGCCTGCCCGCAAAGTACCGCATATTTTGAAGCTCTCCGCGAGGAGCAGGGAAGTTCGTCAACTCCTTCGATGTGGTGATGTGATTGTGATGGTGTTATGTGGCTGATTTCTTCTTCGCTGCCCAAGACAGGTGAAGCGGTGAATACGCTGAAGGCGGCTGGCAAACAGGTGTTCTTTGTGTCCAATAACAGTGTGGCGCGTGGATGAAGATTATGTGAATAAGTTCACCGGGATCGGAGTGAAGGATTTTCAAGCGGTAAATAGTACTGTTTTTGTTTTGTATTTTTGTGAGATAGAGTCCCTCATGCGTATACAACACGTGCGTGGGTATTAAAAATAATGTCGAAAGAAAGTCTCTAGTTGGAAAATTCTTTGGTGGAAAGTGAATATGTTTGTAATAAATTGTTTATTTCTTTACTTCAACTAGAACGACATTATGATCCTGAAAAGTCCATGTTGTACTATATGAGAAGCATCATAAAGCAGCCGGTTTTCTCATTATGCGGTGGCCGGTAATGAAACGCTACGTCGTGGAGTATGATGTGAGGACTTTGGTATTATATAAATATTCATTCAGCAGCATTGAATAAATGTAAAATTAATAATTTATGAAATATAAAACCGATTTCATCTGAAACTCATTACTAGCATTTGTTCCGAAAATATAATCTGAAAGATTTCAAATTACTTATGTAGACTATACGAGGCATCTGCCTCGATCCAGTCCATTTCATAAAAGTCAGATTGTCGGACTCAGATTAGTGGCTGTCTTGTAGTATTCCCTGAAACTCCGCCACTTTGTTACACAATTAGTTGCCAGAAAGATATTATTAGGAAGATTTTTATTTGAGGTTTATTTTCTCAAATTTGTTTGAAAAGTACCAAACTATATGTACACAAGCTTTCGAAGTCACAGAAGTGTAGTATGCAGTATGTATGGACATGATTAACTTATTAAGCCTTTCCTTAACATATTCTTACTCAAACCCAATTTAAGAAAATAAAATTATGAGACTTTTTAAATTATTATTTAATTTGTATAACTTTCGTCTCTTTTTCATTTATAAGGTCCTAAGGAAGTCGTTGAATTATCTACTTTGGAAAAGTTACAAGACCGGAACAAAAATGGCAGTTTTGTGATAATAATTTGAATTTAACTTATGCAAATGGCAGGCCGCCACGATATCTCGCGGATAAAGATTGCGAGTTTATTGCCTGGTGGTAAGATTGGCTAGTACCGATAACGAAAGATCTAACTTACAGGTATTTTCGCACTCGCAAACGCATACATAGGTATAACGACACGTTACTTAACCGATTTAATCTGTTTATCTTTAGGATTTTGCGATTTCCTCGACACTCTTAAGCGATTTACAGGACGAGAGCCGACAAAAATTTGCAAACCGGCAGTTTTGCTTGGTGAAATTTTGAAGGACGCCTATAAATTGCGATCCCAAGCGTTGTCTGTTGTTGGCGATTCTCTGACGCACGATGTACGCTTCGGTCTGAATTGTGCTTCCAAACCTGTCTGTATTGAGCGGCACACCCATAGAAATGTGGCAAGCAAGTAGACCAACTCATTTTATACGGATAGATAGCCGATTTTATAGAATTATACTAATATAAGTAAAATGTTAAGAATTAATTTTGTATGTATGTCTTTCATTATATTTTTGTATAGTTTATAAGTTAGTCTGCTATGCAGCAGAGATAAATTCAAAAATTAAAGAGCCTTAAACTCAATTCAGTCGTTCTTAATTTAAAATTGTGTAACTACTCGAAACTAACTTTTTGCAAGAGATATGCATTTTCATTTATTCCATTGTTGTATCATTCGCACATGCATTGGTCAGAGAACTTAAAAGTTTGTTCTAAGTTCTCTGGTTTTAAGTTCTCTGGTAGTACGGTCTTTGTGCGTCGGCGTATATAGGAGAGTTTTTCACCCAATCTGTCGAATTTGTGCTTGAAAAGGTGTTTTGCGGAGAGTTCTTTTATTTCTCAAATATGAAGAAAACCTGCGAAAGTCGCATTGTCTAAAGTTGAAGATGTTCTGTGAGCGAAATTGCCAAAAGTGGTTGGCATGCTTTAAAAGTGATCAAATTTGAGTATTAGTTAGACCATCTCCGCGATCATCTGGATAAAGTTTCGGATAATTTATAGTGAAAGATTACTGCTACAAATGTCAGATCACGTTTTATTGAAATATTATATATGAAATTTATCTCTGTTTACTTCGATGCATCATTATTTTCAAAACGAAACTGACAAATAGGCCAAACCTTGCTCTTTCTGACTATCATTTGTTTTGGTCGATGCAGAACGTCCTCACTGGTATGCGGCTCAAACCGAATAGTGTCAAAATTGGATTGATTCATGCTTGGCCGCTAAGCTGGCTCAGTTTTTATGATGGAATCCACACGTTTTCTTGACTTTTTCGGTTTTGAAAATTTATCCAAAACTGCGTCAACAAACACCTACTATGTTTCTGTGAATATTCATGGATGTAGACCGTTGAGTTTTCCTTGACCTATGGTGCCGCAAGTTGGTTTCAATCTATTTTAAGTAGACACTCTGGACATAGTGTGTTAAATTTAACTAAAATCGGTTCAGTTGTTTAGGCGAAAGCAAACCAATGAGTTTATCCTTCTGTAGGGTAAGTAGATTCTGACGGTTGATAAATGCTGCAACGCACTATTTTCCTGTTCCTTTCTCTTCGTGATGTCTGTATCGTACGCCGTATTCGGCAAAGTAGCCGCAATGCCCGGAACCAACTGCTTTTCTATTATCACCGTATCTTTTGCAGTTTATATTACCGGTTTTAACTTTAAATATAATGGAGTTTACTTAATCCAGCAAAAATTTCCTAACATCCGTCCATAGTAAGATGACGAGATTCTAGATAAAACCTTTGTTGATAAACAAAAAAATAAAAATTTCGCGACGTAAATTAAGACATAATGAGTATATGACTATTCCATTTTTAATTGGATCAAACTGGACACGAGTGCAGAATTATTTCTTAAACGGTTCAGGTTGAATTTATGACAACCAGATATATATTGGCAAGTAAATAAAACCAGTAAGAAGGCTAAGTTCTCGTATAACGGTAATTTAATTTTCTCGCATTGTGCGACCCAAAAGCCAGTAAAATATTCTCAGGTTCCGACAAAACTTTACCTAAATTTTGTTAAGTATTCAACATTATTCGCCGATATTCGGTATGTTACTAACTTATATAAAGGTCATTGGCTCACATAGTTTTATTATTAGATTTCAATTAGTGTTTGAGACATTTATACTAAAATCGACCTCAAAGAGATATACTCGTATGTGGTATAAACTCAACGAACAGTGGATAAATTTAATACATCTGAACCAGAAGATCCGAAGTCATTATATTAGCTATTTGAGGGTTAGACCAAAATCTAGACCGATTATCTTATATTTAGCGCTAATTCACATTATCTTTAGAAGAAAACATTAACTGTTGAAAGTCATTTCGAAAGTCGGAAATCTTAAAAGATCTGGACTGATTGATTAACATTAGGCATTAGTCTAGTATACTTGAAAACGTTTCTACACAATTTTATGAAGATAATTCACATATTGACCGATATTAACCAGATTAACGAAAATTATTATAACATCTGATCAAATATACGACTGCGAAAAATATAAATTTTCGAATTTCCGAATTTTAATAAAAATAATTGTTTCGGCTTTAAATTGGCCTGAGAAACAAACAACAATTGTCAACGTTTAATACAATTTTCCTACATTTGCTATAGCTTTGTTTGCGTTGACTCCAGTGCTTTGCGTTAATAAAGATGGGTTTGATGAGTGTAGGGTCTTCAGTAACGGTCAAGCATCTTTTGCGATCTTTATTGTAGTCGTTTTGTAAAATTCTTTTTGGCACGAGTCAGATTAACACGCTTCACACCCAAAATATTAACCAAACATAAGATATTATAAGAACCTCTGCTGTCTTTTGATGCCACCACGAGTTTCAAGCACTGTTTGTAATCTGTTTTTAACGTCATAAAGAGATGAATGGATGACTCGATGAGGCAAGTTTTCGATGATTTCACGACACAATTTCTAAGAAAGCATGCGGGGATCATATTTTGACCATATAAACGATATTTTAATTGAAATGAAGTAACACGTATTCTTCGAAATAGTTGGAATACTAAGCAACTGAGAAAAGTCGTAGTCAAAAGTAAAAATTGTCATTGTGTCAAGGAAGAAATATTTTGTTGAGCAGTGTTTATTAAAACGCTCAGCTCCATTGACAATAATGATCTAATCAAAGATATGGATTTATCTATACACCGCAAATATTTATAACGCACGTGTGGCAAATTCATTCTTGTATAAATAAACTGAAATATGAGAAGAACAGATTAGTGAGTATTTGTCTGTGAGACCGGTGAGTGGATTGTCGCACGATTATGCCTGCCCGCAAAGTACCGCATATTTTGAAGCTCTCCCCGCAGGAGCAGAAGGAGTTCGTCAACTCCTTCGATGTAGTAATGTGTGATTGTGATGGTGTTATGTGGATGGCAGCGTCACCTATACCCAGGACGGGTGAAGCGGTGAATGCGCTGAAGGCGGCTGGCAAGCAAGTGCACTTTGTGTCTAATAACAGTATGCGTTCGGAGGAAGAGTATGTGAATAAGTTCACCGAGATCGGAATGAAGGATTTTGAAGCGGTAAATTGTACTGTTTTCGCTTTGTATTTTTGTGTGAGACATATCGTCCTACAGTGCGTATACTAAACATGTGCTGTGGGCGTTAAAAAAAATGTCGAACAGAGCTGATCTAGTTGAAAAACTGCTTTGGTGGAAACGTGAATATGTTTTTTAGTAAATTGTTTATTCCTTTACTTCAACTAGAACGACATCATGCATCCAGTAAAGTCCATGTTGTACTATATGAAGAAGCATAATATAAAGCAACCGGTTTACTCATTATGCAGTGGTCCCGGTAATGAAACGCTACGTCGTGGAGGCGTAGATGTGCGGACTTTGGTATGTATTATAAATATTCATTCAGTTGCACCTGTTTCCCTTTGAACACAGGCGTTCCGAAAATGTAATATTGGAAGTTTCGAAATATATTTGTGTAGAATATGTATGTATGACGGCTGTCACTTGATTTATACACAGTTTGGATTGCCATTACATAATGAACAGACTTACTCTGGAACGACGTTTGCAAATCATGCCAATTTCTTAACAAATTATATGTACTCTGCAGCAAAATCAGTTACAAGATTAGAACCTTCAGGCATAGCTCAATAAGCAGGGGGCTGGTGAATAAAATAGACAACATATCCTTACGCTTTATTGGGAAGAAAAGGTTTCAAGTTAATTAACCAAAAATGGTTATTCGGGTGGAAGCCGGAATCTATTGCACGGAGTTGGATCTCGGGCGATGCATCAAGCTTCAAGCGGTTAGGAAAGCGGCAGAGATAGTTAACAACGCAGGCAACAACATAAAGAATATCAATATATACGTCGATAGCCAGCGGAAATTAAGGCAATAATCTCACATCGCATTACGTCAGAGAATGTCCTAAGAAGAGCGAGGTAGTAGATGTAATGGTTGCCGGAAAACGACAGCATATGCATATATTGGATTTTAGGCCACAACGAAATTCCGTGAAATGAAAAAGATGATGAGATTGTCAAAAGTGTAATTCGTCTGGCTACCGAACCAGTAAAGCTTTAGATATCTAGGAGCTTCGCAGTACAAGGAACTAGATGAAGTATCAAAATTAGATATCAAATCGCACTTAAAGTTCGCAGAAAGCGTTAGCAATCTGTACAATGAATAGTTCATTTCAAATTAAACTAAAATGGCATTACTAAGAACCAGTAGGTCTATTTATGATGTGATAGCCGGCCAGTATAATCTAACCTAACCTATATGTGCATAAGCTTGCGGAATCACATTAATATATAGATTTAATGAGTTTTATAAAATTATTTTCCTAAAAAGCCTTCCCTCGACATATTCTTATCTAACCTCTATTTAAGAAAATATAAATTCTGAGACTTTATCAATTATTGTGTTAATCTGTATAATTTACAACTCTTTTTCATTTCATAAGACCGTCAAGGAAGGCGTGGATTTTTTTAATTTGGAAAAAATCACAGAACCGGAACAAAAAATGGGCGCTGTTTTGTTTGATGGTAATTTGGAAATGAACTATGTGCAAGTGGCTATGGCCGTTCGATATCTAGCAGACAATGATTGCGATTTTCTTCTGGGTGCCACAGAGTCGGTTTTTCAGCTGAGGGAAGGTCTTATGTTTCCAGGTTTGTTTTGCACACAGAAACATACACATACATACATATATAAGATGTTTAATCGATTTAATGTTTGTCTTTAGGTTTAAACGATTTCTACTATGCTATAAAGCGCTCCACTGGACGAGAGGCGACAATAGTTGGCAAACCGGCACTTTTGCTTGGTGACATTTTGAAGGACGTCTATAAATTGACCGATCCCAAACGTTGTCTGTTTGTTGGCGATTCTCTGTCGCACGATGTACGCTTCGGTCTGAATTGTGGCTTCCAAACCTTGCTCGTATTGAGCGGCAGCACACCCATAGATGAAATGTGGCAAGCAAGTGCGGAGGACCAACCACATTTTTATGCGGATAGCATGGCTGATTTTATAGAATTATATGCTAATATAAGTAAAAATGCTTAAGAATTGATTTTGTATGTATTGCGTGTATTATTACTGAATACATTTTGAAGTGTTTGTATCTTTCATATAATTTTTAAGTTATTCTGGTACTTGATTTAAAAAAGTGTACTGTAACTACCCGAAACTAGCTTTATTTTATTTATTTAACTCGTAACAGCTTTTGCGAAATGTAATTTCTTTTTTTAGAGCAATTAACTTATACAGTAAATAAATAATTAAATTACATGATACGGTTGTAAGTGCACTTTTAAAAGGGCTAACTGAAACTTTACAGCAAACCCTATTGAGTTTGCTAAATAATAGTTAGCTAATTAATTAGTTAATTTAAACTAAATTATAAGTGGACTACATACAGGGTATATAAATATATGTGATATTGATGAGATACATAACAAACACGTGTTTATATGTAAATGGCTTATAACCTTAAGCACAAATTTCACTTGATTATTTCGTGTTACCTAATTACCTCACACCTTACCTGAAGAACACAGAAGGACACGTCAATGACACTATAAAGTGCATGTATATATAAATGATCAGTGTGATGAGCTGAGTCGATTCGAATTCAGCATAGATTATTATCTAAGGAAACGACACAATCTCCGAAAATATAGCTTAGATCAGACCACTATAGCATGTATGTATGTAGATAGCTGCCATTGTTGTTGCTGTTATAGCGACAGAATTCTGCCGAGTTGACAGTTCTTGGCCGGAATAAAAACGGGTCCGTTCCGGTTACGTAGACCCGACTGTCGTGGAAACGGTAGATAGCTGCCATTCAAACTGATCGATCCAATTCAAGATAAGAATATGTTTTTATACCCATTTATGCTTTAAAAAGTGCAACTTTGAAGGGTATTATAGTTTTGGTGCATTTGAAGGTCACTTCATGATTTTTCTTATAAATTTTGCTTTTGAGGAAGGGAAGACATTTTCAAGCAAATACTGCAAGTCGTGTATTGTTTGAGGGTTGCTGATGTGAGCCGTTCAATATATTAGTATGTATGTAGCCAAACCTCGACATATTTACATATGTTTACAAATATTTTTAATTGTAAAGAAATGAAGGTTCCGCTAACAGGAACATCAGATCCAACTGGAACGAGCCTGAATCCGTGTATAGTGAAGAAGAATCATGTCTGCTACATTTTTTTAAAGTAGTTGCAGATTTTTTTTTATTGCTGCAGACAACAACAACAACATTGGTTAGATTCATGGAGACTCGGCCTTATTTCGGATTTGAATTTGAAAAAAGTCGAACACCATATATGTATATACTATATTTATGAATTTTAACAATTTACTTTTCTATGTTCTTCTTGTGCCCAACCGTAGTTCTCAATGCGCCGCATAAACAATTGATTGCTTACATAACCAGATTGTAATGGATCTTACCGTGTATTATATTGGCTCACATATTTGCAATTAATTCGATAGACAACGTATTTCTGCACATAAAATTGATTGCCCAGCTTTCGTGATTAAATATTTCAACGAATTTTTTCTTTTTACCACACCAACGCACGTACGCACGTACGAACACACACACACACGCAATGAAGACACCAAATGGACGTCTAGCCGCTTCGGAGCACCAACCAAAACATACTAATTGCAAAGGAGGAAAACTAGCTTCGTCACACCAACACCATTAGCGGTATTAAAGTTGTGCACAACAAAAACAACAAATAACAAAGAAGAAAACAAATCAAAGTACCTTTTAAGCATTTGAACTAGCACAATACATTTTATTGTGCCTGCGGCGTGGCAAGACAAACATTTAAATTATTGCCCTGTCCATCAACTAGCAACTATATTGTGAGTTTGTGTGTGGCTCTAGCGCCGGTAAACAAAAGTCGAGTCGCTTTTTCACCTCACACTGGTTGCTAGTTCGTATTTTGGTCGGCTATTGGCCTTGTTAACCGGAAGTCGCCATATTCCATGAAAGAATGTTCAAAGGAAGCATATGAAAGTATTTCAAGCTTACGAGTTGCATTCTTAAATATGTATTCATATATATGTATGCAAGTATGAACATATGTATGCATATGTATGAACTTATGAATTCGACAATTTTTGAAAATTATGGAAGTGCTCCTTAATAATCACAATAAACAATATACAAATATATATTTGTAACTAGAACGTACGCCGATGTTGTCCTGTCGAGTATTGTCGACTCAGTATTCTTCAAAATGGCGACTATTTTATGCCACTGCAACGACTAATGACAACCACTTTAGCTATTTACTTATATAGTGGACCTGCAATCAAGCTCAAAACTTATTCCAAGTGCACAAATTTTATTTTTTGAATTATTTTACATAAACGACCGAACCTTTGAGCTAATTTGAAAAAGAAAAACAAATCGCATTGCTTAATTTAAAATTAACACCAGTTATGTGAAAATATTTATAACTTTTACAATTTACTTAAAATGATGTTTGGCGACCAGTTGTGCATCAAAATTAATTGACCTAAATTGCAACGCTGTTGGTGATTCCTTACCATTCAACACCAAAAAAATAATATATTCAACAGAACATGTATGTTTATTGGCACAACTTCACAGCAAACTCGTTTTAAGACGTTAAGTAATATTTCTACGCCAATTTAAAATTCACTTTTTCATAAAAAAAATAATTAACACAGCACATTTTATTTACACAATTAGATTTTTACTTATACGTTTTTTCTTCAATTTTACACCAAATGTTTTGCACTACTTTATTATTATATTCTCTGTTATAATAACAAAAATTATGATATTTAGCGGCAGGCGTTGTTTTGTCTTGCACAAAGTTTGTTTATTGGGCTTTGCTTTTTGAAAACTGTGATAATTTGCATTGAAGAATAATTAAAAGAAAATGTGATTGACTGACATGTGACGATTGTACTGAAACGTAGTGCGGCAAAATAAAAGGTGTTCAACAAACTAATTTCAAAGTTTGTCTTCCATACGGAATTGAAGCGGATATCGGGAGGGTAGACAGGCACAGTTCGAATAATATAATCTTGCGGTTTGCATACACTAATTGGATTAGACGTTGGACAAAGCTAAAAACAACAACATACCACGACGGTATTTAAAAGCGCCAACTATAGCGCGCTGCAATTTCAAAGCAACAGCTCAAGTACAAATGCATACTTTCACAACACAATCAGCTTTCTTCTTTTCTTTATTCTGCTTATTTGAGCTTTAGTTTAGCGAAAGCTTAAAATGCTTACTCTAGGGGTTTGTTAATTTATAAAAAAAAAATAGAGCTATTTTCGTTTTACATCTCATAATCCTCAGGATTGTATAGTTCAGTCAAAAGTCGATAGACGTACGAGGGTGCATGACCGCCACTGTAAGCAAACAAAATAAGTTACATTACTTCTCGCTATGATAAAAAAAAAACACTTGTACTTACATATTTGAAATAAACAGTGTCACTAGCTCTGGTGGCACATAGTCAAATATAGGGCTATAAACTTTGGCAGAATGTGATGCTAAGGAATCATATTCGATAACATCTTCCGCACAGCCTACTAAATTGAATGCATCCTGTTCGATTGAACATAAATGTACGGGTGATAATTTGTACATGGGTGAGAGTACTATAACAGGCACGGAGTAATGTTTGGCGGCCAGTGCTACTGTGTAGGAACCGCAAGCGGCACGCAGCCCACCATTTGCAAGCACACTATGCGTACCAATTATGACTTTGTTGACGCGTGACATCATTGCGAATATGGCGGAGTCAGGTATGACAATTATTTCGACATTTCCCGTTGCCAAGCTAGCTGCCAAGTTATGACCCTAAAATTGCAAATATATATAGTTTTTATGAAACTACCTTGGAATTTTTTTTATATAAACTTGCAAATATATATAATTTTTATGAAACTATTTTAGATTTTCTTTTAATATAAACTCACTCTGCAATCGGGCGCACACTCAGCTATAATTATGGTAAGGAATTGGCGCTTCTTAACAGCACGCTTCAAAAAGTTTTCAACACTACGCGAGTGTCCCAATGTGAGTATAACCTCAGAGGAGTGTATGTGCTCTTCAGCTTGTGCGCAAATATTTTCGGAACTTGTCTCCAACTCGGTTTCCATTTCTTGCAGGTGATCCAACAGCGCTTCACGCAATCCCTGTTGTGGTTCAGTATAATCGACACTAACATCATTACTTGTTTGTGTAACAAGCTTGTGCAAGGACATTGAAGCTTGGTCATCTGTGAATTGATACACCTAGAAATGTATTTGTGGCATTTATATCTTGACCCTCAAAGAAAATAAACTGATCGTCTAACAAACCTTTGCTTTCAGTAAATCAAACTCTTCGCGTATCAATTTAAGTATACGTCGTGCAATGTTGGCTGTTACAGTCTCTTGTGGAATTGCGGATTGCAGTATGTGCCCCTGTGTGCGCACTAAATTCATGAGTTCGCTAATAAGCACAAATACATTAAGAAGTTCTTGCTCGTAGTTGAAATGTATAACTTACTCTGCATTAGCCCATCTTTGGCCATTTATGATTTTCTTAAATACTTGTAGCGTCTTTGCCGTTATGTTGTAAGAACCTTCCACATTACTGTAATATATTTTATATAAAATTTACAACTTTTCATCAATATTTTTAAACTGTGCATACCCGTTTTTGATTTCGTGGATCAATTGTGTAACTTCTTTTGTTGGATGGCCTTTCATTTTAACGTTTCTTCCTTTTAATTACGAAAAATCGTAATAGCTAAATACAATATCTACAATGTAAATGCAAACGTCAAACATTTGTTTGCGCGTGTCAGCTAAACAGCTGATTCCCAAGTCAGTAATGTAAACAGGGTGAATCATGTGACTTTATTTTAGAGTTCTTAAAATAATTTTAATGATATTTTATTTTTATCGACCCGAAAGGAATTTCAATGTGAAACAGATTTCTTGTTTATATTTAGATTTATTTAAAATTAAAATATGAAAATCTATGTTCCACTGTGTGTTGTTGTGTGCTGAATTGCGTCCCTGGTGCGAATGGATTCATAAGGAAATCGAAGAAAATAACTAATTGTAATTTGCACAGTTGTGGATTGTATTCGGCGGCAAGAATGATTTGGCAGCGAATTGTATCTTTCAGATGACAATTCGATATGAAAGTTGGATAAATAAAGAGGTGTGCACGGATCGTGGCTCGCTTTAACTTCAGCAATTAAGACAAAATAATACTTTGAAAGCAAAAAAGTGATTGTGAACAAATTGTAAAAATTCCGCTTAACTCAGTGGCAGCAGCATAAACATTGTATGGAATAATATAAATAAATAAAAGAAATGTGTCGTGAGAATTGCTTATCGAAATATTAAAAAAAGCGACCGGGGCTATTTCACGCTGCAGCGGCGTAAGCACCCTTATAATATTGTAGTTGTTTTTGTGTGTACGAACTTGATGGCGTTGTGCAAAGAACAAAAGTTCTGATTTTGGTGGTGAATCTGTAAACAAAAAGAATTTCGTTGTAATATTGACTTAAAAACGAGTGAAATCAATAAATGTGAAATAAAATAATCAACTGTATAAACATCTACAACACATTTAATAAGGTAGGAAATTATCAAAGACAACCAGCAAATGCATATTTATAAAAAAAAAAATGTGTAAGCGCTTTTGCAAAATGCACCACTGCGCTACATACATACATACATTTATATGAAAAACTTAACTTCTGATTAGCGCATAAAGTTTGTGAGCAACACAATTGTTTACAATTTTACAGTCACTATTTGCGTTTAATTAAAAGCTTATTTTGTTATTGTGTAGCAAATCAAAACGAACATTTATGAATGTTGCTCGTACATACCGTTTTTGCGGTGGTGCTCCAGGGTTGCGCATGGAAGTGTGCGAATACCTCAGCAAGGCAGTCATTATTGATTTTTTGTTTTCATGCCATTCTGGCTGTTACTTCTATGCGCTTCAGCTGTCGCCTAGTCGGTGGTTGGTTGATAGGTCGGAAAATATCTGTCTAGCTAATGTGCGAGGGTGGTCGTCAGATATTACCTGCAGAATCTTCGTCTAGCTGCATTCGCATTGTTACGTCAATAATGACACTAATTTGCAACAACGCATTGTTGCATACAAATGTGCAATTCAGTTTGTGCACGTTGAAAACTTGTAAAATGTGCATAAAAAATGCGCTGCTTAAATTGTCAAGTCAACAAAATAGATTGTAAAATGTTTACATGAATTTAGAGCACTAGCGAAAAAACAAAATGCCGATAGCAGATAAATAACCGCAATGCAAAAAGTTAATTTCTGCTGCACTTTTACATTGGTAAAGGTCAATTTACAAATAATGTTCAAATTTTATGAATTAAGCGAAACCAATTATTCACATACTAATTGTTTTACTGATAAAAAAAATGCTTTCGGCCAACCACCGATTTTATTACTTTTATCTTACTATTATCTACAAACAATTATACAATTAGTTTTAGTTGTTAAGAAATACTCTACACATACTTACATATATTACAAATTGAAATCAATATTAACAACCCTAATTGCTATTTCGTAGTTTTATATGTATAAATATTATATTTAGGCTTAACTGCATATAATACATTTTTTGAAGTTACTTAATTTAATTTGTTTCATCTATTTCTTTTTGTAAATATTTATCATTTTAGGCGCGCTAAACTACTATTCGAGCAAAACAACCGGCAAAAATTTTTTTGTTCACATTTCCCCCAACAATGAAAATACCTAGCAAAATTTGAAAAAAAAAACCCACAAAAAAAATTGATCACGTTTACACACAATATTGAAATTAATATATTGTACGTATACAACAATACATATATACTTAAATATATATCCAACCTACACAATTGTATAAAGTGACAAAACAAAAAAAAAAAAATAAAAAATTATAAAAAAAAGAATAAAAAAATCAACTAATCAAAGTAATCTGCAGTTAAGCTGAAAGTTCTCATCCTCCCAGTAAACATATATAATACCACAAATCAATCCTACCACCACCACTCCACCACTATTCAACTTCAATTCGACTAAATTCAAAGATAGAATTTGCATAAAACTCAAGTCATGCTAAACAACGCTACAAATTGTTCGCCGCATGTAAGTAGTTCAGCAATGATATGTACATATGTATGTATATCATTGTTCACATTACTTTTTTTATGTTTGTCTTTACTCGTGTGCGTAAATTTGTGCATATCTGTACGTTGTATGTTATTTAGTGTTAATTATTTATATTTTTGTTTTTATTTTTTAACATAGTTTTCTTTTATGTGTTTTCTACATGTTGTAACTAAAATTGTTTATTTTAAGTAGCTCATACGAATAACACACTGCTCTCAATTTGCCTTATCATCTTTATAACAATGAAATTCACTAATACATTTGTTAAAGCCCTTTAGTAGCTGTAAATCGTAAAATTTCCCAATTACCCGGCAATAACCACACACCGCAAATTGGTGGTGCCCACTTGCTATTAGTGTTATCGTTATTATTTTTTGTTGTAAAACTTGCCAAAACACATACCGATATGTAAATAAACACTGAGCGCCTGCTTATCAAGGTGTTCTTTATCGCGCCTTCATGTTTGCGGCTTGTATGGTGCGTATGTTTGCTAGTTTAGCACTGCAAACACCTTTTTTTTTTTGTTATTATTGTTATTATTATTAATGATTTGTTTACCTCACGATCACTTCGGCGCGCGCATTGTTTAGATGTTCACATTGTATATCGGTAGTGTTTATCGGGTTTAATGTATGTATGTGCTTGCTGTGTTACCATGCAGGATGATTAATATAGACTTCATTTTGTTTACATTAAAAACGTTTGCCCACAAGCGGTTTTTAGGTTAAACTAAAAGACTAAAAGAAAAACGCTTAAACTTTTAATGTGTGGCAATGCGTGTGTGTCATAAAATTTGATTTTCGTACTTATAACGGGCTTACTTTGAGTTGGTTAAACAGTTTTTTGTTCATTCTCGTTTTTCTATAAGAAAGTGTGGACAAATGAGGTTAATTTGGTTTTTTATTTGATCAATTTTTGTTTTTTAGTTAAGATTGATGTTCGAAATTCGCACATTGGGTTGCAAAAGTTTACTTTCATGTGAAATAATAATAAATTCAAAAGTAATTGAATTTACCATAAAAAATAAATTTTTTTTTGGGATCTTATGGTAATTCTACTTTCTTAAAAGATACTTGAATTACTTGTGGTATATTTTTCTAGCGCCAAAAGAAAAAAAAGTTTCCCCTATAAGAACTGAACGGTCAGTTTGTATGGCAGCTATATGCTATAATGCGCCGATCTAAACATTTTGTACGAATATTGTACCGTTATCTGAAAATTCGGAAAGATATCTTGACAAATAAAAAGTTTTCCATACAAGGACATTTATTTCATCGTTCAGTTTGTATGGTGACATGGATATAGTTGTTATATGGGTCTGATATAAGCGGTTTCGACAAATGAGCAGCTTTTTTGGGATTTGTGTAAAATTTCAGATCGATATCTCAAAAACTGATACATGGTATACATGATATATATGGAAATTAGAAAAATTAAATCCACTTCATAAAAATGGCAGCAGCCTTGCAACTCTTCAGACGCATTCATTTCCACTTGAAACGGTAGCTGACATCAACATTGGTATATGGTATATATATGTATATATATATAATATATATGCATATATGTAAATATATCTGTCTATGATCAAATGAAACACATTTTCTTTCATCTACAAATATTTACATACACGCGTGTACATTTGCACAAGACGTTACCTCACTTACGTAAAATCGCAAAGGGAATTTGCAAAATTTCACTCTAATGTAAATTGAGTTATCAATTATATTCTCCGACATGTGCCAATTTACATAACATACTTGTACATCCAGAAATAACAACAAAAAACAAACAAACAATAAACAAATGTAACACAGCAGCCCAAAAGTCCAAAAGTTAAGGTAAAACCACAGGGGCGCAGCGCTGTTTGCAATTTTCGAGTGCAAAATATTAGTATTGCAAACATTTTTTCACAGCGTAGTGGTAAACAATAAAACTATATATATAAACAAAATGCAAAAGTGCGAAAAATTCCAATGCTAAATAAAAAATTATTTAGTGCAATGTGCAATCAATTCAAAGCGAATTAAAGTAAATAAATTATTGTATAAGTGAAATTGAATATAATTGATTGAAATAAAATTATATTAAAAGAGTTTTATTAATTAATTATAAATAATGCAATTTAAAAATTAATAAAATTAAAAAAAAAAAAATAAAATTTAAAATAAAGCAAAATGATTTTGAATCGCTAATGTTGCATTTAGAAAGTTGAATTTGGTGGTTCGTATTCAAGATACACTTTTATCATTTATGCATTTTCCATATATGTATAGCTTTATTTTTCAAGTTTTGAAATTTCTACTTCAAAAATTTTTCGAAATTTTTATGGCATTTAGAGTTTGGGTAATAATTTTGCGCGCCTAACCACCACGACTGCGTCTTTTGAAGATTGCATATACTGTCAAGTTAAATTTTTGCACCACTTTTCCGAGTGTAATAGCCTTATGAAGTTCCTCGAGCAAAACACGGCTTATTTTTAAGAATTTTTTTTTCCATAATAAAATTAAAAATTTGATTAAAGCTTTTTATAAATATTTATTTTACAACAATTTTGTAAAATTTTCAAACGAAAATATTCAAAACTCGGCCATTGCGAAGTCATTAGCGGCAGGTCGTCGGAAAATAGATGCCACCGCGTTGACAGCAGAACTTACATACAAAATCATATGAAGTAATAAGAAAAAATAAAAGCTTTACTTAAGACCATAAACTAAAAGTGAAAATTGTATTTTTGGCAGACGTTTTTACAAAAAAATGCAAGTCAATAAAAAAATCGATTTTTTGAAGCTGTGAAACCCATGTAACCCTTAAAAAATTATAGACCATATTTGCTTTTTCTGGTTATAAGGGAACCTGAAGAGCCTCTTCAGCATTGATCGCACTTTGAATATACAGTTTTTAAACAAGAAATATGTCTGTTCGAGATAAGTAAGTGTTCTGCATAAATCGCGAGTTTTGGTGTTTAAATTCCACGAATTCTGGACGATATGTCAAATTTATGCCTGACATTTATGTTCAGCATATACCAATGTCAAACTCATGTGTTTACATTGACAGCTGGTTTGAAAGCTAGCCCTATAAGAAATTTTAAACCTCCTAAAAATATCATAAACCTAGTGAAGAAGAGAAAGTGGAGATCAGGGGCAATTGCTTGCGGACTCAGCTTTCTTAGGGGGGCTGGTGCTCTGCAACAATGTTGTGCAGAGGTT